AACAGGCGCGAATGGTAGGATGGAATGGGATCCTCGAACCGCAATGATCGCTATGCATATTTCAGAAAAATTTGTTGAATCCTTTCAATCCTATTTACCGAATGTTGATCATATCGTCCCCAGATAATTACCGCGTACTCTAAGTTAGAGCGTACCAGAGACGAAAAAAGAAGCTTAAAGGTGTAAGGATCAGAAAACTTGGAGGTATTACGTCGAACAAAACTCATTACCGAGTATGCTTTGGAAATAATAACATTAATGTGACTATTAAATGAAAACTTGGCCTCAAAAACCACGCCAAGATCTTTAGTCTCTGTAACCTTGCTAAGGACAAAGTTAGAAATTGACTAAAGTGTAGGAGTAGCGTTCTGACGCCTAGTGAATGTTATGTGAAAACATTTATTAACATATAACATGTTTAAAGATAGCCGTGACTTAAGATACCATAAATGAAGGCTATTCAAATCAAATTGAAGTTTTCTTGCATCAGCTGCATCCTTAACAATTGCAAAAACCTTCAAATCATCGGCATAAAGCATATAATTCGAAAAGGAAAAACAATTGCCTATGTCGTTTATAAAAAGAACGAATAAGAGAGGGCCTAAAATGCTCCCCTGTGGAACACCAGAAGAGGCAACGAAATAGTCCGAAACTACGCCATCAATCGAAAGTACACAGCGCCGATTAGACAAGTATGAGGTGATCCATTTGAGAAGAGACGAATGGAAGCCAAGGCAAGCTAACTTATTTAACAGAATCTTGTGAGATACTCTGTCGAACGCCTTAGAAAAGTCAGTATATATGCAGTCAACTTGCGATCCGTCCGAAAACGATGAGATGCAAAAATCACTAAATACCATTAAATTGGAGACTGTCGAGCGCCCGGACACAAATCCATGCTGGTTTGGGCTGATTAATGACTTTATCGCGAAATAAATTTTGTCTTTGACGACACTGTCAAAAAGTTTGGAAAAGATTGATAGTTTCGAAATTGGCCTGTAATTCCGTACATTATTTTTATACCCGAGCGCACTTGTGCACAAGGGTATTATAACTTTGTTCACATAACGGTTGTTTGTTACAGGCATAACGAATCGAGATAGATATAAACAAATGTATACATAAATGATAAGAATGAAAAGAGAAATCGATTAAGCGGTGACTGTCTGTCCGTCCGTCCGTCCGTCAGTAAGAACTGAGATATCTTAACGAAACTTGGTACGTGGACTTCTTTAGGGCATAGAACGGATGGTATTGAAAATGGGCGAAATCGAAACCTCCCATATAATGGTAATTTTAAGAAATACGAAAACTGCGATATTTTAGTAACTACTGAAGATAATTCACTCAAAATTGATACTTACAATGAGTTTCAGACGGAAAACATGAATTTTATAAATTTTTGGAAATGTGTATATCTTGGTAACCGCTACGCCAATTTCTTCCAAACTTGGCACAGTTGTTGGCCTTAGTACAGCATACTAAATGGCTGAAAAATAAAAATAATAAACAATAACCACGCCTACCTCCCATATAACGGTAATTTTCAGAAAAACGAAAACTGCGATATTTAGTAACTACTGAAGATAATTCACTCAAAATTGATATTTGCAATGAGTTTTAGACGAAAAATAAGAATATTACAAAATTTTGGCAAATGGGCGTAGCCACGCCCACTTATGGTTAC